TCACAAAAAAGACATCTTGAATTGTTCCTGGTAAAATTACAATGATTCTTGAACACTATATATCTCAAGAACATGTTGGGTGTTGGACTTTGTGTCTACAATCAATCAAAAGAAAAATCAGTAAAACCTTTATTAATCTGGCTGTTTCCTATTTGTCTGTGAATGAGTAAATGAACCACATGAGTAAATCCTTTATATTTATGCATTAACTATCACATTTAAATGACATCTGCAAATGAACACTTGGGGATGTTTGAACAGATCTTTAGCATTTATTTTTTTTTTTTTTTTTGGCACTGAAATTTTAAATTATCTTTGTAGCAAGTTAAACGTGGGTGTAGCTGTTAGAGCCGGAATAAATCACTGATGCTTAGTCGTGTTTATTCACTCACTGATCAGATATATCATGATTTACATCATGAATTTGCTAATTATAGTCAGTATTCTCTTGAAGCAAAGTTCTTTCTCTGCTTCTTTTTTGTAGGACAAAATCCATTAGTCACAATTAAAATGTTTGGCTCATTTACTGAAATTGAAAAATGTTTGTCTTCTCAATGTTTACGTAGAACCCTAAACAGCAGACATGTCACAAAAAAGACATCTTGAATTGTTCCTGGTAAAATTACAATGATTCTTGAACACTATATATCTCAAGAACATGTTGGGTGTTGGACTTTGTGTCTACAATCAATCAAAAGAAAAATCAGTAAAACCTTTATTAATCTGGCTGTTTCCTATTTGTCTGTGAATGAGTAAATGAACCACATGAGTAAATCCTTTATATTTATGCATTAACTATCACATTTAAATGAAAAACATTTGTTAAAAAGAGTTATTTAGCTTTTTGTGTTTGACAATGGAATTAAGTGTTTTTTTATAGTGAGACATTGTTAATGTCACATTTAGATCAAACCCTAAACAAAGGGGAAAAAAAAACTTCAGGTGGTGCATTGCATTTCCAACAGAGCCACAAAACAAACTGCAAAGTTTCGTTTGTTTTCATGAGGAGGCACAAAGGAGTGTCCTCTTTTTTGAAATGGAAATGCATTATCATTGCCAAAAAACAACCAGCTGGCCAGTCTCAGCTCAGCTGTGGGACCATCAGTGGAATCTGTCGTCACTGACGTTCACTGGCATCTCAGGTGGCCCATACATGAGAAGGTTCTGATGATATCCTAATGGCCTGCCTAATCAGCTTTCCCACTGCTCAAAAGTAACAAAGGACAGGCTCTGTTGGAGCTCTGCAGATGGAACAATTCAGTGTAAATTATCTCCAAAATACTGTCAGTGTCTCACTGGCACACATAGGGTAGGTAAACCAGTTGCTAAAGCTAACCAAGAACTCTCTAAGGATGAGGCTGATCACTTTGTATATGAATAGAATTTTCAACAATCTCCATACGGAGACCAAAACCAACAATGAATTGCCTTCACAGAGATCTTGGGTATGCACAGATGATTCTTCCTTACTTCAGCTGCAAAAAGTTGGGGTGTGGTGTTTTGTAATGGAAAAACATGTCATCCAGTGTAGCGGTGTGTTTCACTGATTTGTTTTTGTTTTTGAACAACAGCGAACGTCTGTGGCAGAAACAAACAAGCTAATCCATGTTGGAGACTAGCAAACTAATAGAGGCAATGTTGGTTTTAGTCTCTGTATGGGGATTGTTGAAAATACTGTTAATATAGAAAATGACCAGCCTTATCCTTTAATTTACATAGAACTGTTACACTATCTGTGCACAGGCGAAGCCCAGGGGGTGGCCAGGGGTGGCACTGACCATCTCCACCCCTTGTGCCAGAGTCAACGTGTGTTGCTTATCAGTATTAATGAATGAAAACTGAAAAACAACAACAGGTTGTTGTCTTAAATACAGCTAACATTTTTCTGGTGCTTTGTTATCGATATTGGTCAGATTAGTTTTATTTCACATCATGCATGCAGCATGATATGTGCATTCATTTCTCAGATTTTGTGTTGCGGAGTACTTGGCATGATTCACCTCCTTCACGACTGTGTGTCAGCGATGTCCCTGGCTGGAGGTAAAAGAGGAGCGCAGCCAGAGTTAGCGAAAGAAATCACTAATGTGTGGTTTGCTAATTCATAGAACTAGGGGTTTCCTTTTTACATGCATTTCAGATGTCCCACCCCTCTCTGAGTCTGTGCCCCAGCCTGGCTGCCCACAACACACAACAAAATCTTAACATTTGAAAATATCCCTTTAATGACTCTCCTAGACCCAGTTTCTCAGGAGAAGTGACATCAACCGCAATCAACACATTTTCTAAAATTGCAAGCCCATTTATCATCACATCAAAAGCTAAAACATTTTTCTCTGTTTTTTCCCTTGGTCTCCTGGCTGTAATCTCAGTGGATTAATTTCATGGTGTCATGATTAATTTTACAACTGGTCCATCTTTCACAAAGGTGGATGTTTTTATTATGGCCTTTTGCCCAGGCATTAAAAGTGAGGTCTAATACATCAGCAGAAAGTTTGAAAGTTTAGACTGACCTCATATGTGGGGGTGGCTGTCTAAACACGGCTGCCCATTTTGAATTGATGAAGCGTTTCCTGTTTGATTTGGTATGTAGACAGCAGCGTTAGAGCCGTGCATTAGGGGCTTTGAGGCGAAGGTTGTTTTTCACTGCTGTCAGTAATGCTTCGCAGCCAAGTACAATGAAGGCATTCATTTCAAAATCAGATAAACAGAGTTATGTCTGAGACTCACCAGCCAAAATTTCAAAGCCAATCCTCAAAAAATCTACATGTACTGTATGTAGACAAAACTCGCCTTATAATCTTAATAGTAACCTGTTTTCTAGTTTTGTCTCCTGATCCATGCAAACGTTATTTTAATAGTAGTCATTTGAGTCTGGAATTAAACTGATTTCAAGACTCTTATCTTAAAAACTTGTTTAGTTTTTAATTTTGTTAAATTACGTATGTCAAATCAATGATTACTATCCCAACGCTGTCCCCACATTATTATGCCATCACTTGGTGTTAAAAGCACCACTGTATCCCTGCTTCTCTGCATTAAAAGGATGAACTCTACATCCAGTTGAACAGTCAAACTACACAGGCCTTTCTTTCATGCACTGGATTAAATTCAGTGTGAGCATTGGTCTAGTTGAAATTCACAGTACCACCCTAAAACCGCCCCTCCAAGCCATGTCAGATCAATGCTCTTCATCCAACATCTGTCCACATGGCACTCAAAGCCTTTCCGCCACCCAAATTACTGCTCTGTTGAATTATAACTCAGTTGGACCTGGCAGTGTACTGTACCCAGGGCAGTCTGAAATATCACTGACAGACCAGGCTGTCAGCCCAGATATATCTGTCACCTGGAGACCTACGTGAAAGAGACAGTTAGTGGCCCGCGGTCTTTTACAGCAGCGTTTGTCTGGATCCGGACAGGAAGTTCCTCACAAAAAGTCTGTTAGCCATCTACTTGAAGTGTGTTTGGACAGTGAAATATTGTCCTGTGTGAATGGTGACATGAAGATTTATTGGTACACTGGTCTCATCACTGCAGTTCTGGAAAGTGCATGTTAATTTTTGGATCTTCTAGATAGTTATGTAGATGTATTTGCCAATGTAGTATGAACATTCTGGTCATGATTTGCTAATTTTAGAAGCTGGAAGGAATAAACATCACCTGCAGTGGAAGGATGGCTTTAAAGTGGCAATAACAAGACACTTGATTATTATAGTTTGTGGCAAAATAAAATAGGGGCTTTTACATCATAAGAACTTACCAAAACGTGTTGGGTTGTGTCTGTTCAGCTTGATATAAGTAGATGCTGTATCATTCTTATCATTTCTTTACTGTATCTCCTTGGGTTCAGGTGTTTGAGTGTTCCTTACCAACTTCAGTACTTGGCATGACCTTTTGCTCAGACTAGTGATTTCTTTATAGCAAATATTTTGACATTTATTTTGTGATTTTCTTTATGGATGTTGAGTTTCTAAACATAATGACAGATTTCATTTTTCATACTCTAATTAGATCCTTTATGTTGAATCCTTTAAATATTTCAGCACAGCATGACTGAAAGGTCATGCTGTGAAAGCAGCTATTAGTACCAATGTCGTTATGTGCGATCTTTTTCAGTGTTATGCTTGGATGGCTCCATTTTTATTTCTGTCAGGGGTCTATGTTTCTTTACTTATTGAATCAAGTGTATCCTCAGCCTGAGCCGGTCTGACCCAGGGTCACACAGTGACACATCATGTCAGTGGTGGCGTGCCTGACTCCACATTCACACAGCATCTCTCTCTCGTGCTCCTCGCCTAATTTGTTGCTCAATTCTTTACACAATTCAGTGAAATGAAAATGGGAAAAAGACAAAATATTAATGGTGCTGTGATGCAGTCAAGAACATGAAACTAATTTATTAGTGAGAATACTGTGCATTTTACACACCGTGCTGCACAGACACTGCTTTAGTGTGAAGTTAAAACATTGGGCTTAGTGTTGGTTTAAACTGGCAAAAAGGAAAAGGTCCAGTAGATGATAATGTTTGCAGAATAGCTGCAGCTGGGCCTCTCTAGATTTGGTGCCTGGCCACACTGCTGGGTGCGACAGATACCATTTATGGCGCCAAGGGGAACCACTGAAGAATAATTCTTAATTTGCCATAAAGGTGAATTGAATTGGATGGTCATTTCAATGAACATAAATTTCCCGTAATGAGAAGAATGATATTTGGCTAGCTGCGTGTCCTCTGACACGTGATCTTTTTTCACACTGGATATCCTTTAGTCCTGGACAGCTGTTTATCCTCCCCAGTCCACTAGTAATGAGATGGAGCTTAGAAATGTATTAATCCTGGCTACAGTTCCACTGCGTCAGCACACTCCTTCAGATTTTTCCTGCTGCCTTTTTCCCCTTCATTTTCCATCTTCTCATTTTTCTCAATCTTGTCATCTTTTCTTTGCTCATCTGTTCTGTCCATCTAACTCCAAGTGCCTCCTTTCATACTCTCATTCTAACAGAGGTTGTCCAGCTGAGCCTGACAGAGGACCAGCGCATCAGCGTCTCCACGGTAACAGTGGGCCTCAGTGCCGTCCTCACCTGTGCCATCCAGGGGACGCTGCGCCCACCAATCATCTGGAAGAGGAACAGCATTGTATTAAACTTCTTGGACCTGGAGGATATTAATGTGAGTGCCTGTAGTCGTTTTCATAAATGTGGTTCATGTTTTTGGTTTTTTTTAAGCTGCTGGTGATGATTACAGTGAACTCCTGCTGA